AGCTCGACATCGTACACGTACGAAGACGACCGTTCGTGTGCAAAAGGATGAAGTGTAGAGCAGTTCACATTCGTAGAAGAAAGAGATTTATGGTTAATGTGAGCTCTAGGAAGCTCATGAGCCGTCTCCGGCGGATGGTTGCTCCGGAAAAGAGTTTTTCCGGCGAGATTGACGGTGACACACTATACCGGCTCACGGCTGATCACATTTTCCTACTCAAAGCAAGAATCCAACTTCTTCGTCGTGTTTCTTCTCTATGTGGTCTCTAGATCGATGATCTATAACCATATGTAATTATACACGTGGCTAAAAATAAATGGAGCAACTGTATAATTATGGATAGAACGTCTATTTTCTCTACATATTTTTCTTAATTAATCATCTTATAAGTACGTCGATGGAAAAATATTATGCCGACGCTATAATTTGAGTGTATCTGTGTTTGTTATGTTTATTTTAATTGTAAACATTCTTCTTACATGCATGCAGCTTAGACCGCGTTTATAGCCATACATACGAACAACATGTTATAAAAAATACTACATAACTTCATAATAATAAGTGTCTAATTAATAAGAAATGATTAATTCACAGGTTTCGTAATTAATACTTGATAAACTGACTGGTAAATCTGTGTATGATACAGTCCAATTAGTTAAGCTTCTTCCATATTATCGCTTTCGAATGGAACAAGTGAAGTGACACACGTTCAAAAATAAAACGATTTAACACAATTATATGGCATTCACCTACCCAGTCACTTACCCTTACCAATAACAGCTAATTATAAAGAAAAAATAAGACTGCGACAGTTGATAACTTAAAAAGATAAGATTTTTTTTTTTGTTTAAAGAAAATAATATGAGGGATTCCAACAATTAATTAGTTGTAGACTTGTAGTGCACGAGTGTCGTATCCTTATTCCTAAACCTGGTTCGAAATCTGCCGGTTCATTATAAAATACTCTTTATTAATTATGTTATTTTAATAGTTAAAGACAAAATGTTTTTTTTTTTAATTCGAAAACAATATACCACAAAAGAGAAAAGAGGAACTCACCAAAATGTTGATTTTGGTTGCATGTGTTCAAAGTCAAAGACACATTTCATGATGAGCTTTCTTGCCACATGCCCATACGCAACATGACGTTTGATTTATAATACTTCTAACATTAATAACTCTACTATCTCTTATAATTAGATAAAAAAAATGAATAACCATTAATATTTTGTTATATGAAGCAAACACCATCAATATTATGTAATTTCAACAAGTTTTCTGATATAATCTAGATGGAAAAAAACATACACCTTCAAGTAGGTGGAGGTGAGATTATTTCATGATAGTAATAATACTATGTGGATTTCAAAACTTTCGTGTTATTTTCTCCCATGACATACATATGGCATGATGTAACATAATTAAAAGATAGCATCTATATCTTCATTAATGTAGGGTGTGAATGAAAAGCATTGTTAGAGAAAAAAATATAAGCGGAAAACATTTTACTCTGTATTTTCTTCAATCAACATTTTTTAGAGTAAATTGTTTGACTCTACATTCTTTAACTTTTTAATAAACCTTCCCATTTAGAAATAGATGCGAAAATATTTTAAACTACTCTAATTTTCCAAATTTGTCCTTTCTATTTTAATTACTGTCAATAGTTAATGAGATCTTTTTACTCTCAAATGAACCATATTCACACCGTACTGATTTTCTTGTTTAAAAATTATACTCGAAAAAAAAAA